TCGACAGTGCAACAGATTGATGTTTTGGGCTGTGCAGATTTGGGATCAAAAGGCACCTGTGATCAGATGGTTCCAGAGTCAGACTCAATAAAAAAAATATGCAGTGCAAGATGTAAAAGTTTTTCTCTAGAAGGTCAATGTTTTTAGCCTGATTACTTCTAAATTGGGTAGAAATTGTCTGTCCAATTACAAATTCTCAGCTAGCAGCGGGACATCCAGATTGTCCTTGAAATGTCACATAAAATGACTTGTACTCTAAATAATTCACTCCTTTGAGGTTCTGATTGTTGATATATTGCTACCAGCAGAGTATACTGCATTACAAAAGAGAACAACATTTTGTACCTCAAATGTCTTGACTTCAAAGCATTTCAACCTTATAAACAAAGAGACATAGCCTCAGTCTAGCACCAAAGAAAGCAATTTATGTAAGCAGAAAGTCTGGAACAAATAATTAAAACATGAGACTAAACAAAAACATTTGTGAGTTTGTTGAAACAACTTTGAAATATAAACTCATTTTTTCTGTGTGTATTTATTTGCACTTTACCTAAGGGTGCCCCCTGAATGTGTTATTTCTTGCTTGTGTTGCCTTTGGAAGCCTGTCAGGGGTAGCCACCGTGGAGCTCACTCTGCAGGCGCTTCTCCTGGCGTGCTCACGCCTCTCCCCAGAGGCAGCCTGCATGTGCCAGCCTCTCCCAGCATGCAAACTTGTATTCCACACTTTTACTCCAAGCACCCAGGTGAAAAGCTGCGATAGCACACCCACCACCATTGCACATGCCCATCTCAAAACCACAGCTCCACGGTGAATAGCTTTCTTTTCCGTGACCTGTTTGCGTTGTGCAGGATTTCTAATCCATTGTCACCCCAAAAAGTGTTTCAGATGGTATACTCCAGTTTAACACCTTCCATCACACCCCAGTAAGCCACAGATCGTGGCAATGTGTGGCCGCCGTTGGGAAAGACGTTACTTCCCTGTCTTCTCAAGGGCTCACGGGGCCTATACCCTGCAGGATGCGTGACTTCAGCTTTTGGGGCTTTAGCAGCTTCCAAATGCAGCTCATCTCGTTTCAGTGTAGCTGAAAGGAAGGTTCGTTACCAGCACTGCTGTCATATTACCTGCTTCCCACCTGAATTTGGACGCGATTCGTGGCCTCCAGCTCCCTCACCGCGGCTGAGAAGAGCATCAGCGCTGGCCAAGCCATGAGCCGTCGTGTGGTGCCACCTCGTGGGCAGCGAGACCACAGCGGCCGCGCTGGGGGCGAGACTCCGGGGGGTCATCCCAGGAGATACGAGACACCGGAGGGATCACAAACACCCGTGGCCTGCCGAACACAACCGTAGGCAGCGATCTGTAAATTCCTCGAATTGCCACGGGAGCACTCAGTGCGTACGCGGTGCACAGCCCGGCGGGTGGCCAGAAACAGCACCCAGGGATCCAGTCGAACTGGATTGGAGGAGATTATTAACATATATGAGGACCTTATTAACGTATATAAATATCTGAGGGGTGGGTGTCAAGAGGAAGGGGACAATCTCTTCTCAGTGGTGCCCAGCAACAGAACAAGAAATAATGGGTTTAAGTTAGAACATCAGAAGTTCCACCTCAACACAAGGAGAAACTTCTTTACTGTGAGGGTGACAGAGCACTGAACAGGCTGCCCAGGGAGGTTGTGGAGTCTCCTGCTCTGGAGACTTTCAGAACCCACCTGGACGTGTTCCTGTGTGACCTGCCCTAGGGGATCCTGCTCTGGCAGGGGGGTTGGACTGGATGATCTCTAGAGGTCCCTTCCAACCCCAAACATTCTATGAGTCTATGGACAATTACATTCTAACATGTTGTGTGTAGGGGGGAAATGATTTCCACAGTGATCATTTGGTGGGGAGATGCATTTCTTACAACCGAAAAGGAAAGACTTGATCTAATCCTCTACTATACCAAAGGCAGCGACTCCCCAACACTTCAGTCAAGCACCAGCGCTGCAGCACCAGAAGCAGCACCCAAGTAACAAATCACTGGGCAGGGGACAGAGAAATCACACTGTACTTTAACTTGTGTAGCAGCAATTTCTCATATTTTTAATAAATGTATGAATAACATTAGTTACTCTGGGATCACTCAGCTGCTTTAAGACAAAGTATGCTCTGAATTGCTTTAAGATCGATGCTTTTTACCATCAGAAGATGAGGAAAGCATATCCAATTAACATCTAAATGCATTTTAAAAATAATTTTGGGCAGTTTCCCATCTCACGGCTGAAATAGATTCACTTTACAAACCAAGGTAATTTTCTGCACATGACAGCTGTGAGGCAGTTTATTATTGTCATAACACGTATCTTTTGCCATGAAGGGGTACTAAGTGTACTAAGAGTACTAGTGTTGGGTTGATGGTTGGACTTGATAATCTCAGAGGTCTTTTCCAACCTTAATCACTCTAAGCTACCAAAGACAGCCAGCCACCAGACCACAGAGGGCCAGGGCCAGCCATCCCGCGTGCCGAGGTCCTGTAACCCTTCTTGTGGTCCCACAGCTACCTCTTAAAATTAGCTCCAGTGTAATTAGTACAAGCTGTAGCTGTGCATATGCAGTATAGGAACACTGGCAATGCCGCAGGATGCATCACTTAAAGTGGAACAGAGCTCTGTGCCCTTCCTTGTTAAATAAAGGGGAGGGGGCCGGGGAAATCCAGGAAGAGCAGAATCCCAGAAAAATCCATTCTGAGGAAGTTACTTTGTAGAAGAAAACTCTGTAGTTTGTCAACTGTGAAGTTTGTCAAAACATTAAGACTCACTTCACACTGTTCTAAGCACCCAGGCAGCCAAGAGTTTCTTGTGGCAGAGGAGCAGGCAGAGGGGACATGTGCCTGGAAAGCAAACCCAGCCCTACCGAGATGCTGCACCCAGCACTACTCGCCGCAGCAGTTCTGCAGCTTTTCGTGTCTATCTTCCAGTCAAGACTGCGAGCCTTGGTGGAAAATATTAGCTTTTATACTTTAGAAGTTACAGCATAAATGTGTCTGTAAAAGCCAGCCATACGTAATACATCATTACAACAGGCATAACACTATTACTTATTCACATTTAACTTAGGCCTGAGAAAATACAGTTTGTGGCAAAGCATCTTCCACTGGGCTTTTCAGTCTACGAACACCACTGATACACAGGAAGATTCTAAATTCTTAAGGTCATCCCCGGTCAAACAACAGGGAAGGAGCCTTTTCTCAACTATCAACTTCCAAAAAAGGAATTCAGAAACCAAAAAAACCCACCCAGTAAATTTACACTTTTCCGCATTACCTCTGCAAACTGATGGAATAAATCAGACCAGAGAACAGTCTCAAAATCTGAACCACTACTCACATCCCAGGGATCTTAGATTCAGTAGCAAGAGGCAAAGCATGGCACCATTACCCCATCTCTCGCTGGCTGGACCTCTGAGCGACAGCAAGGCTGCTGAACGCCACGAGATGGGACCCACCGCAAAGCGGGCAAAATACAATACCCTGAATAAACACCGCAAGCTTCAGCTGCTTGCACTCCTGCTTTCAACTAACAGTGCAAACTCATATTTAACAAATGAGCAGGCCTTTTTTTTTGTGATAGGATTGTATTTAATTATTTTCACATACAAATTGCGAGAACACACACACACAAAAAATCATTATTCCATCATTATTGCATCACTCCATCATTATTCCATAAGCCTAACCAGCACAAATTACTATTTTAAAATGACACAGCTATAGTAGAGAATATAAAAAGCTTTTCAATTCCATTTTCTGCAAAATTAGACTCTGAATGCTACCTCATACACACAAGAATACAGCCCTTGGTGGAAAAAAAAATCCAGTGCAAAAACTTTAAACTCACATATTATCAGAATGTAATGGAAGTAAACTCACATTTGAAGAGAGCCATCACATTTTATTCTTCTCTTCAGCAACACGATTATTGCACAAAAATAGTCAAGTTCTTTTTCCCACAAGCATTAATAATTTACAGCTTTAGTGATTCTAAAAGTGATGTTGTGAGGTTCCAACATTTGTTACTGCTCAAGCACTCCACATAAAACATACCAGTTTATATAAACGAAATGTGGTTATCTGGTCAGCTGAATTCTCTCCTTCTTGTGCATCAACCCCAACAAAATACTGATTTTGTGGCAACCAATTTTGACTTCTGATGGTGATGCATAAGAAGAAATCTCCATCCAAGTAACAACCAAGGTGGGCTGACTTTGCAGAATCAAGATGACCAAAAAAAAAAAAAAAGGCAATTTCTCATTCAAGCAAACTCATTATACTCTGATTATATTCTCAAAGTGCAAAACCATGCTATCAATCGAGAACTGTGCTGCACTCCTCACAGAACTGCCTCTCAGAGCAGAACTGCACTTCAGGTAAGTTCACAGTTGTGTAATAAAAAAGTCCCTTAATCTTTTGGCTAATTTGTGGTCGGATTGCCCAAGCAGAGCTCTAGTAGCAGGCTGACGCAGCCTAAAGCCATTTACCTAACCCAAAAGTCAAATCGTTCCATTGAATTAAGGTAAGGTAGAGTTCCATTTTAAACAGTGGTCTAAGACTACAAACAAACAAACAAAAATGACAACAGAATGAATATTAAAAAACCCACAGATGGACTTAATTTAAGACACAGGAAGAAAACATCTGACAGTGGTGTTGCAGACAGCCCTGAGAGCACCACTTAGTATTGGTTTTGGAAAATGATGAAACGAACAGCGAAATAGGCGTTCATTAGCACCGAAGGAAATCCAGTATTTCCCAATTTATATCTAACCTCCAATTAGAGAACACATAGCATTGGTGGTGGAGTTGATACTAACAACTGAAACATCCAAAGGCCAAGAACAGTATGGGCACAGCAGTCAGACACGCCCCAGGTGACCACACTTCTTTCAAACTGCAGTGGGACCCCACCAAACCTGCCTGGCAGCATGACTATCAAAGTAGCTCAGTTAAAACTTGTCTCAGTTACTGTTTTATGCTTTTAATCAATAGAAATATAAAAAAGTTGGACCAAGTTAAATAGAAAACATGGTTCCATAGGTGCTACTCGTGGGACCAGAAATGTTTGGGGTTTTTAAAATTCATTTTTCCACAGCATTGAAGTTGTCCTGAGTGGTACGGCATGAGGCTAGGACAGCTGGCCACAGTCAGTAATGACAATCTTTTTGGAGGGCTTCCCACTCTTGGAACCAAAGCTCTCAATCTTTTTCACGACATCCATTCCTTCCTTTACGTGTCCAAAAACAACATGTTTTCCATCTAGCCTGTAAAACAAACAAACAAAGGCAGTTTTACTTAAAACAACATGAAAACTGAAGGAAAACGAGCTCAGTGAAGGGATGCTGGCAGATCTTCACAGCTCTCACCTGCTGATCAGCTCCACCAGCAAAGGCACAACTGCCCTGCAAGTGACATGAAATACTTTTACCTCCAGCCCTTAGGAGCGCTATGAGGAATCGTGGCCTTGCTACCCTCACAGCCCTTCCTCCCTCATGCAGCACGTAACAATTTGTCTTCCATTGAGGCAAGTAATTTGAAAACTAAAAAGAAAACCAAAAGCCCAAAACCAAACCAGACAAAACCTGAAGAAAACCCAAAGCCGTGTGGATCCAGGCAGCAATTCATCAGGTTAACACGCAGGGCTGAGAACCTACCAGTCGGTTTTTGTGGTGCAGATGAAGAACTGAGATCCATTCGTGTTGGGTCCTGCATTGGCCATTGAAAGAACACCTGGAAGAGCAGCAGCTTATTAAACTGGTGTAACAAGACTGCAGCAGAGAAGACAGTTTTCCTCTGCACACTTATACTAAAGACTGACAGACGGAAGATGTGATGGTCTCACATTGTCTCCAAATGATTTCCAATACCAGCTTCTTGCCTTTCACTACTCCCTCCAGCCCAACCTCCCTTTTTACCACAGGAAATGTCAGTAATGTGATCAGTTGTACACATCCTGAACGTGACTAACATCAGCTAACCTCTTCTGCGGTTCA